ACATACATAGGTTAATACTTTTTTACAAATTTGAAATTGAAATTTACAATTCCGTGTTCAAAAAAAAAAAAAAAAAAAAAAAAAAAAATGGAGATATCAATTAATTCGTAAAGATAGAAGAAGATGACGGTAATCATACGCGCACATAGCCAGTAAGTTACTTTGTAATAAATACGTGATGTACATAATTACTTAACTTGTAAGATACGTGATTGTTCTATCATGTAAGGAAAGGAATCTTCCTACGTCATAGAATAAATCGTCGCATATTATTAATAAAGTGTCTCTGTCGCATTTTATTCAGCCATAACACGAACCCGTGTTTCGACACTCTAATTAACGTTAACGTTTGGTTTCAAACCTCCTCCCCCCGGCGCTACGGGGCCCGTCTTGCTTCTTTTCGACACGAGCGGGCTTATAGATCGCGAGTCAGCCACCTATTAATCACATTGATGTCCTGCAAGTTCCTGCAGGACGCCGCGGGCTGTAATTTTGCTAATGCACTTGAAATTAATTAACATTAAAACCGGGCACCGCGTGCCCATTATTCGTGCCGGGGCTCTCTCCCCCCCTCTCTCTCTCTCTCTCACTCTCTCTCGCTATCGATCGCAAACCATTAAAACCCATATTAATTACAGGCTCGTGGTCGGCCGGTAATCGCCGATGCAATTTGCGTACACGCGTCGCATGTTCCTCGCCCGGTGTTATCCTGTTTTCCACGAAATTAAAAAACATTCTGGCCGTGTCCGCGACCAGTAAAGCAACCAATTTACGGGGCCTTCGCGTGAAAGTAAGCGGGTGACGTCGATACTCATCGGTCGTCGTTCCTCGCTTGTTCGAAAATCACGTAACACAGACGAAGAGGGGCGTAGATCGAAAATCCATCCACTTGTAGCAATTCGGGGATTCCCTGCACTGAAAGACACTCTGTCAATTCCTTTTTTTTTTTTTTTTTTAAGCGTACGCTACGGTTTAAGTTGCACGTTTGAAACGATCTTATGATTGAAAGGAGCGGATAACGATAAATAAACGATAAACTTGGTCTCGTTTTACACAGTTCATAGTAAAATACTATTGTCGAAAATATGAATCAGCCGACGCAATTCAGACGAAACAATAACACTTGCGGCAAGTCTGAAAATCCACTCGCAGCGAAAATTCCTTGACACTCCGTCAATTGCTTCTTTTTTTTTTTTTTTTTTTTTTTTAAGTGTAAGCTACGGTTTAAGTTTGAAGCGGTTTTAGTAAGACAGAGGATTGCAAACAATAAAACAAACTTCGGTCCCGTTCAACACAGTTTCTCTTACACACTTTGTACGATTCTATGTTATACGAATCAGTTGACGCGATTCGCACAAAATAGTAATACCGAAGATACTTCGAGCGATGTTTCTTCAAGAGTACCAAGAGAATGAATTCGTTGTATAACAATAGTGAATAAAATGCTGACTTCCTGAAACTCATAAATATGAGCTTTTTTTATACGAATTTCCTCACACACACACACACACACACAGACACACACACACGTCAGGCGTGCTTCATCAACCAGAAGATTTGCAATATTTTTCCAATTCGTCAAACCTTTCTTGTTATTACACAGCTTATCTCGAGATTTCGTTTAATCGAAAGCGATAACTATCGACGATCGACGGAGAAGAGCGGAGCACGTATGTAATTAGTTTCATTGACGGCCGAGCAACAAGCGGCGAGGTTCATCGTCGGGTCGTTTATTATCGGCCAGTGAGTATTCTCTTTGATCGGGCAACGTTCTCAGCGCTGGTGGAGAGAAAGACGATCGAGAGTTTCGCAGAGAACGCAGAGAGAGACGGTCCATTAAAGGATCGCAGGTGTACAACGAGCTTGCGTATATTCCGTGGCATAGGCATAGCGTATGGTTGGTAGCTGGTAGAGGGAAGGGTGGCGAAAGCGGCATATCTCTAAGTGGCCTAAACTCAGGGGGAGAGACAAAGAACCCCAAGCAACTGAAGGCAGAACCGGGCACCACGCCAGGGCTAATTGGACAGATCGGGCTACCTGTCTACCTTTTGACGACGTAATCCGGCGTCCTTTCTAACTCATCAAATTAACAGGCTATAACAAATCGGCCGGCGTACCTAAGTACTAAACTCTCTCAGTCCCTCGATGATCCTTCCGCATAGTTGCAGGACAGATCCCTCGCGATCCTTCTTTTGTTTAATTGACGATCATGACTCGTAGAGCCACTGAAACTGCATGCACTGAATCGAGTTGTTTGTGTACTCGGGCCTTTAACATGGTTGTTATCTAAATACTCGCAACTCTTAACCGCGAGATAATGGAATAGAGATCAGAGTTGACGATCTTTGGCAATCGAAGTGCGAGAGAATTTTAGGAGGCATTAATTTACGCAAGTCTTTGGACCTTTTTTTTGCAAAATTTAAAGTGCGACGAGATTGCAGTAAACGTGCAGGCAAATTTTACTTACGTATCTTCGTGTTTCCGTTTAAGAAACCTTCTGAAAGTTTCACTTGAAAATGGTTGAGTACGTCGAGAAATTAGCATGAAAATTAGACACGAGCGTGATCATCTCGATCAAAACTTGAACATCACTGAAAAACATTAGGTGTTGGATCTTGCACGTGAAAATGGACAACTTTATTCCACGTCTACTACAAAGATATGAATCACTTTAACTATTTTCTACTCGTTTATACCCTTTCATCCGCCCACTGGAGAAATAACAAACACGAACGTATGTACATTTGCCTACATCAGAGTTATTTTTGTTAGAAAGGCCGTATGTCAAAACGTCAAATATTTTTAAAACGAAGAGAAA